GAGCTCCCCGTTTCTGACGTCAGAACAATTTCAAATCTGGATCAGTCTGTTTCAGATCCGTTGCAGCCCCGTTTTTAGAGATTTGGGTATGGAGGAAAAGAGAGAGGGTTGTGTTTTCTGACACTTGGTGATATGACACCGGGGACACATATTCATGTATAAAAAACGTACAAAAGTGCATTTTGCATGATAGGTCCCCTTTAAACTTAAGTTTCACTGAGTGTATGTTTATCAGGTGTTTACAAGGGCAATGAACCAACATGTGCTGAGAAATGAAAGTATTTGCTCCATAAACCTGAAACACGTTTGTATTGACTCCACTCTGTCTTCCTCCCCAGACAACACCCCGCTGCGGTCCAGTCTGGTGGCCGAGGCCAATGTGGTGGAGCTGTTCAGAGAGGAGCCGGAGGAGGAGCTCGGCCTGCGCATCGTGGGGGGGAAGGACACGCCGCTGGGGAACATCGTCATCCAGGAGATAGTGCGGGACTCGCTGGCAGCTCGTGACGGCAGACTCGCACCGGGGGACCACATCCTAGAGGTGAGGGAGTCCAGGATACAAAGTTTAAATCTCCTCTTCATTATGGGATTTTAACATGGTGGCCTAGCATGACACGGATCACTTACACCATAACACCCTCGTGCGTTCCCATGGTATTGTAAACAAGGTGCCTCAATGCAGGGAAAGAAAAAGAAGATTTTCAAGGTAAACAAGTTTTGGCCCCATGGTTTAAGGCGTGGTTAATTACAGGGACAAACATGTCAGTGTAGCTTCACCTGGTTGTTGTTGTTGGTGGTGTCACTGATTGACTTTCAGTTTGAGAGGGTCGTGGTGAAGTTATCAAACTGAATATAATATAATATAATTGAATAAGTTGCGGTTACCTCTCTTACAACAATATCCTCCTCCTCCTCCTATTTCCTACCCCTGTTCTTCTGGAACACGGTACCGCTGTAAACCGAGATCGTGAACTCCTTTCTGGCCCTCTGCTTCAGGCTGTCCTCCAAAATGCTGCTTTCCCTCCAAAGACAACCAATTCCAAACCTGGATATGAAAACAAAAACCTGTCATTCAACACGCCGCCTCAGGATGTGAAATATTAGCTGCAGTTTTTTTTTAGCTTTGTGGAAAACTGGTGGATTTAAAGAGATACTGTGACTCAGTCTTTGCCTTTCCCGTTGAGTTGATGCATTGATTTCTCTAAAGACACATACAAAGGCTGTGAACAGAGGAGACCGATGATAACTTGTTTCTATCATTTTCCTGGTTCTTATTTTTCTGATAAAGGAAATACAGTTCAGATCTTAAAAACTGATATTAGAGGGCACGATAGGGAAGTTACTATTTATGACATTATTTATTAACATTATCAGGATAATGGTCAATATTCTCACATGAGTGAATTAGAAAAAGCACTATAGCTATTATGGTAGAGAAGTGAAAAGAAGAACCTTGTTTTAAATTACAGGAATTAAGAGAACAGACTAAAACAACGTTGCTATTTTTCTATTTATGTATCCTTTGTAGATAAACCTTGTTTTTTATTATCACCTTATATAGGATATATATATTATACCTATCTGTGATGCAGTACAAATATTTACATAATACATTTTTTGTTGAAAGAGTGATTCCAGAAAGCTTTAGTGCCACTTTAATCACTTTTTGCAGATTATTAGGATAATATCATAACACCTTGAGTTGCATTTCGTTTGGCCAAGATAATCATGGCATGAAATGTTCATACGGTCCCGTGCCTGGATGGCAGAACAAGTCACAGTTCCACCTTTTGTCTGACGTTAGCACAGTTCTCTTGAAGGAGAAGCAGCAGAATGAGTTAATCTGTCTTTCCGCTCTACGGATAATGTCTCGTAACTTTCTATAGTGGCAGCCTCCACGTACAGCGCGTACTGAAATGTGTGTGTTGGCTGATGAGCCCTGACCCTTGTTTCCTCTCTCTCTGTGGTGTCTTCAGGTGAATGACGTCAGTCTGGCCTCAGTCCCTCACTCCCGGGCCATCGCGGTGCTGCGGCAGCCCTCCGTCCTCCGGCTCACTGTGATGCAGGAGAAAGGTTTCAAAACACGGGATCCGCGGTCGGATCACCTCCCTTCCTCTGGCCCCGCCCCCAGTGCCTCCCAACCCTCTCACAGTCCCCATGGCAACGCTAACTCCAATCACAACCCCGGCTCCGTCCTGCAGGTGACGCTCGTGAAGAGTCAGCGCAGCGAACCGCTCGGCATCAAACTCATCCGCAAGTCTGACGAGAGCGGGGTCTTCATCCTGGACCTGCTGTCCGGGGGTCTCGCAGCCAAAGACGGGAAACTGAGGAACAACGACAAAGTGCTCGCTATCAACGGACACGACCTGAGGCACGGCACGCCTGAGAGCGCTGCCCAGATCATACAGGTGGGTTATACAGCCCCAGAGATAGGATCTGGTTGACTTCAGCCCATTTACTACAAAGACACACTACAATATCACTGACCGTTTTTTGAATGTGCCACAACTTTAAAGACTCCCAGGCTGAGTGGATTTCAGTATTTATTTAGTTATTGAGTTATAGTTTGAACTCCTTTCTGTCGCTACATTTCAGCAAGTACAGACCGCTTTTGGTTGAGCGGTTTTATATAAACCACAGTTTATACAAATGCACTGTTTTTAGTTTTTTATCAAATCAAGGCCCAGATAAAAAGATGACAATATGCAAACATGGACGCTCAGAAAAGGGATTCAAAGGGAAAAACATAAAAAAAAGTTGATGTTAGTTTAATTAAACATTTTTTTATTTTATCAAAGAAAGGCACATAAGAGCAAAATGACAACTTTATCACTGAACATTTTATTAATTAGAAAAAAGGGTATAAAATATTAACATTATTAAAAAATAAAATAAAGTGACACAAAAGTATTGCTAAAGTAAAGTGACCAGAAGTGATCACATTCTACCTAATAGTGTTGATTATGTATTTGCTTTGTCATTAATTGTTTTTTTTTATGTGTGCATTCAGGCGAGTGAGGTGCGTGTGAACTTTGTGGTGATGAGGCCTGCAGAGCCTCAGGAGGAGGGGGGGGGCAGCAGAGAGGGGCACAGCCGAGCAGCCAGGAGGGTCCCGGAGCCACAGTACTTCAGACGCCGCTCCACATACATAAAGGTATACAGAACATTTACACAACATAATGCTGCTTTTTATATACATTTTTTAAATATCTTTTTTAACAGTAAAATACTGATCGGCAACCGTTGATTACTGTGGTAGTCAACATGTCTAAGTGTCCTTACTCCTAAGGCAAGAAACTCAACCACACATTCCCCTGTTTAGGTGTTTAGGTGTTTAGGTGTTGGATAAAAACGTCGGCCAAATACCGCTTTATAATGTAATCTCGGCCCTTGCCAGCTGTTGGCCCCGGAACTTTATTTTCCACAACTTAGCACAATGTTTTTCTCTGTATTTTCCATACTTGTCATGTTTCAGTTCGCACAGTGTAGTTGTGATTGCTCCTCTGCCAGTCACACTCATGTGTGCCATACACTGTCAGTAGAAAGAATGGCAACCCCCCCCAGCCGAGGGGTGAGAAGCTTTGAGCGCAGACACCTGCGTCGGTGGAGGAGATGAAAGCGAGGGTCCTCCCTCTGTCCGGATCAAAAGGCCTCGGTGTGCTCCCTCTGCTGCGGGGCCACGCTCTTGTTGTTGTTTGGTTGTTTCTTTGGGCAGCAGAGGATCAAAGCTGGTAACAGTTAGCTTTCGCCTGCAGAGTCGAGCCTTTTCGTCTTGATGGGGGGGATGGGCTCCCTGCTGGGGGGAGGAAGAGCACCATCCTCCCCCCGGCTTCCCTTCTGATGGTTAACAGACTCCAGAGGGAAACTGGTTGAAGCTGTCACTTTCCACACATCTTACCCACTACGAGAGCCGAGTGTTGATCCTCACACGTCCCCTCGACCCTCACCTCTCAGCTCCTTCTCAAATGCTTCACATTTGTTTCTACGAGTGGTTTTGTGAGAGGAATCAATTAAGTCAAAGGGTCCCGGAAAGTGTGTGTGTGTGTGTGTGTGTGTGTGTGTGTGTGTGTGTGTGTGTGTGTGTGTGTGTGTGTGTGTGTTGTCATACAAATTAAGATAAAACCATAATTAGGACACATGGCATCCTAAACAAGGCCAGCATCACTAAAGAGACTCTATACGGTGATGTTGACCAATGTGGTATTCATTGCTTTGTATCTGTTGTTCTGTTGTTCCTGTAGGATCCTCCAGGAGGGTTTTCCAGCCAGGAGAAGACGGTGAGCATGAAGAAGGAGCCTCGGCTTTCCCTCGGCATCACCATCGCCGGGGGGAGGGACTGTCGGAGCCGTCTACCCGTTTACATCACCAGCGTGCAGCCGGTCGGCTGTCTTCACCGAGATGGCACCATCCAAAGAGGTGTGAATCTGACGTTTAATAAAACGTTTTAGTAAAAGCTTTAGGCCCAATTTTATCTGGGAATGTTATTAATCACGCCGAGCTCTCCATGCAGCTCTCCACTATATTCCGTTTTTTTACTCTTCAGAAGCTGGTAGAGGCAGATCTGTAGCATTTTGGTTTAAAAAAACAACTGAAACAAATGATTATCAAAATAGTTGCAAAATAATTTCCTGTCGGTCCGATAATCAATAAATTGATTCTAATGTTAATGTAAGAGGAAGTAGTCTTTGAAAAGAGTGGGGGGCCGTTCAGTCAGTTTAAACTTTGAAACAGAAAAGTAATTGTGTGGGAATATTTGAATAATGACACTGGACTCGGCATCAGCAGGAAACCGTTTATGGGAAACCATTTACAGTTCTGTTTGAAAATCCATCACAATGTGACGACTGACTGAATAGGAAAAGAGCAATTCTCTTTTCACTTACTTCTTTTCAGGGATACAATGTGGACACTTAAACGGAGAGGATGTGTGCTGAAACAGAGGCCTGACCCTCACTAGTTTAGGAGAGGTGCCCGCCTTAGAGAACGTCCAAATTAGGCTGTTTGAATGTGCTAATGCAGGCTTTTCTCTCTCTGTCAGCCCTCAGTATGCACTTAAACTGCATCTAGCTCTGTTGATATCCAGTCTTATCTATCTGGTTAAATTGACAGCCAAAAAGTTCTCCCTTGATTAAAATGTATCTTCTTTTGAACTAAAATGTCTCGATTTTCACCACATCACGTGTCTCCTCAGGCGACGTTCTGCTGAGCATTAACGGTGTGGATCTGACCCAGCTGACCTACAACGAGGCGGTCTCTGTGCTGAAGGCTCAGACTGCTCAGTCCCAGGTGGCCCTGCGCGTCATCCAGACCCTCTCCGAGAACCCCGACGAGGACAGTGAGGCGAACAAGGACGACATGGACACTATGGAAGACCCGCGAGACGACGCCCTCAACTGGACGCCGCTGTGGACTCGCTGGCTGGGATTACCGAGGTAGAGACTACTTTTTTTTATGCGGAACAAACATATTATGTTCCTTTTTTGGTGTAAAAGTTAACTCCAACTCTGCCCTTGTTGTTGCAGTCCCATGCACTGGTGCCGGGACATCGTCTTGCAGAAGACCAACAACGAGAGCTGGGGCTTCAGTATCGTCGGGGGTTACGAGGAGTGCCACGGCCAGCAGCCTTTCTTCATCAAAACCATCGTGCCTGGGACCCCTGCTCACTTCGACGGACGCCTCAAGTGAGTTCAGCTCAATATAACTGCTTCATGACTTGATAGTGTGGAGGTACCTTACATACCAAATAATCACAGATGTCATTTTAATGCTACAGAAGATACATACAGAAGCTGTGAGAAGTGTAAACCGAGCAGACTATCATCAAACCACAAAGATAGTATTTATAAACTCACATGCTCACTATTTATAGATTTGGTGGACTTAAAATAGAACAATTCATGTATAAATTTAAAAATAACATACTGTATCAAGACGTCTTTTTCAAATGACTTGTCAAAGAGGATTCATGCTTTACAAAAAGAGTCACAACACATGCAAAAAAAAAATGAAAAGGAAATGAAATTTGGTGATGCCGATAGTAGATTTAAAATAAAAAATGTGCAACATATATGAGGTATGAACACAGGTGTTTATATATGACTTTTAGCTTGGAACATTTGGGTGTATATAATAAACATACTGTTCATTGATTTAATGAGAATTATACAAAATAATGAATATTAAAAGGGGTAAGTGTAATAATGCTTCAGTCTATTCCTTTTCTGTCAGCATGAACTTGCTTTGGTTTGTGACTCTTTCAAAAGCAATGACTTATGATGTGTTTACGCTGCAAATGCCTGAACTAATGGAACATTACTGGTCTGCTGTTCCCTCCAGGTGCGGCGATGAGATCGTGGCGGTGAACGGCGCCACCACTGTGGGAATGAACAACTCCTCTCTCATCCCCATGCTGAAGCTGCAGAAGAACAAAGTCACTCTGACGGTGGTGTCCTGGCCCGGCAGCCTGGTGTAGAAACACACACACACACATACCTGACCATTCACTCTTTCCTCTCCGTCATCTCTTTATTGTTCCACACACACACACACACACACACACACACACACACACACACACACACACACACACACACACACACACACACACACGTGCACGCAGAGATCTTCGCCCTGCTCAGCTGCATTCTTGACTCACTGTCCCTTCAATATGTAACTCACTCATAGTTATGTAATGTGTGTGTGCTTAGGAACCATCGTGTGTACAATGGAGATGACTTTCAGTAGCGAGCTGAGTCCTCTCACACCGAGCAGATGATTGCACAAACTAGGTTTAGGGTGAGAAAGTGATGACAATCAGTGAATGATATGCTAAGGGCAAACTGGAACTTTGAACACCTTGTTGATCCTTTGCTGAATACTTTATCCATTTTGTTCCTTTCTTGTTAAATAATGTTATCATTACATGACTTCTTTCAAATAAGAAATGTCGTTTTTACGATATGAGTAGAGAGTCGTGAATTATAGGTAACTACACAAAACAAGATGGCTGCTGACTGTAAAGACTCATGCCAAAGACAGAAACAGTATCCTGTCCTGTAGCTTTTATAGATTGTATCAACCTTACTACAATGCTCCTTCAAATCGGGCAACAGAATGGGGAAACCCTGATGTAAATGTAAGTAAACTCAGTCAAAGTGACATTTAGGATTAAATAAACAGCTGCAACTAGGAAACAGAACTTTGGTTTTAACAGGGAGGGTGTTGTAAAGCCAAAGAAAAGACCTACAGTCAATTTGGTTTGACAGCTTATACAGATATACAGAGGCTCTTTAATCCAAATCAGTCATCAGTCAAATCCTACGCAGTCCTATATGTAAACAGAACCCTGAATACACCATTCAATCACAATGACATCGGTAGGAAATGGCTTGGGCCCAAGTTTATTTCCTGTTCGCAGTGGATATTAGCAAATTCTGAAACAGGAAATAAACATTCTTATTGTTTTAAAGCTGAGAGCTGGTCTATAGAAGCAAATCATTCTGTGCTGAATGTTTGGTCTAAAACAGTTTTAGTCTTGCAATGATATAAGACTGAATGGCATTGATAAGCGGGAGCCTTTTTAGACATTGAAAGACAAACCAGAATGTGAACCTGCCTTAATTTCCCACTGTACAAAAATGCATCATTATTTCCTCTCATTATAAACTGTAAATAGGAATTTCAAAGGAGAAAACGGCCTTGTGAGATACATCTGTTACCTCGTTTCTATTTTTATGTCAACACATTCCCAGTGGCCTTTCTTGTGTCTAAATTGAGACAAGACTTATTAAATAACTCAGAATATCGTTTCAGAATTTGTTTTTCAAGTCAGAGTGGCTGCGATATGAATATATATATGTATATAGAGTAGGAAATACATGTATTAGCCTGTACACAATTTCTTTATGTTCAATAAAATCATAACAAATCAGCTTTTGTTTTTCCGTTCATTCTGGCTTGTCATTGTGTGAAGGCTAAGCAGTCAACAGAACACTCAAGAATGTTGCAAAGGGCTGATGTTTGTGCCAATTCCATAATAGGTATGGAGATCAAAGTATATATTTTTATATTTGAATAAACTACAGCGTGAGTCAAAACGGTTTAAATCACAGACCCAGTCAGAAATGTCCAATAAATGTGCAGTCTGTTCATGGCTCAGTCTGACACCTAGTGGACACAAACTGACTTTTTAAACACGTGCAAAAAAAGAGACATTCGCTCTGCAGTCATTTAGTCAATTTAAAGATGATCAAACGTATTTTATAAAGTTTGCACTCCACTTGTAGTTAAAGAAAAACTGGATTACACAAGATATTGGTTGTTGAGAAAGACTGATGAGAATAATGTAGTGTCCGGTTTGTGAAACCTGCATGTGCAAACACAACATTTACAACCTCTCCTCCAATAAAAGTCACACACTCAATGTGCAAATCATTTGTTAAAAGTAAATGACCGGCGTTTAAAACTTCTGGTTGTAGGACCAATTTTATCAAACCTAAAACGTAAAGTGTGGTAAAAGTACACACTTTTCCTCTGAAAGGTAGATTAGTAGAAATAAAGCTGTCTTCACAAGTTTCTCATGTTATTGTTTGAATCCCTTTAAGATGTAGTTCAGATAAAACCCTTATTGAGTAACATATTAAACTGCTTGGCTGAATCTAGAAGTAGTGGTGGCAGCTCCAGACCTTTGGAGCAGTAGGGCAGTAAAACTTCTGTCCAAACAGGGAAAGGCTGTGAATGTGAAAACAAAAAAACAAAGGACCATAAAAGCATCCAGACTGAGGAGCTCGGGGGATGTGGAGAGATAAAGTGAAGACCCAGTCCAGTTTCCCCTGACCACTGAGGCCTAACGTTAGAAAGTAGCAGCGTGTTATTGTAACAACAGCATCCCTGAGTTTTATAAATGTGTCGGCTAATTGCAGACTGTCTTGTTAAAGTTAACGATTCCACACCTTGTTAAACATGACAAATAGTCACATTTCTGTGGCGGGGCAGCAAGCCTCGGTCCACAAGGATCTGTTTTTACAGAGATGATACATCGTTAATTCAGTAAGATGGCAACACACAACCAAATGGTTTCAAATGAAATAAGGAAGCAAAGAAAAGTCAAAATCAACAGTTTATTCTCTCTCTCCGTAGGGATTATGTCACCATGACAAACATTTACAGGAGCTGTAACGGGGACAATACTGGAAGGAGGGTTTTAAATGTCCTTTGTACAAGAGAACAGATTCCACCCCGTCTTCTCTGTGGTTCACCAACTACTCCAGAGGCACTCTAATACGACGCAATGCAGCAATCTGTCGACTAAGGTTCAGGAAAATAATACTAACACTGGACAGAAGGACTGAAACAAAGGAAACATCTGCTCGAAAGATGTCTTTCCCCACACATCGGGAGGAGCAAACACAGCACAGGGAAAAGTATAAAACTTTTTAAAAAATCATAAAAATTGAGTTTGATGAGTGGAAGAGCTAAGTTTAAATCATTTTCTTCCAACAGCGCTGCAATCATCTCCAGTTTCATTGGATGACAACTCGTTAAGTGTCATCTTTATTGGCAAAAAAACACATGGTAACATGCACTGCTGCNATATCAGGGGTTCCCAAAGTGTGAGGCGCGCCTCCCCTGGGGGGCGCCAGAGAGCTTCAAGGGAGGCGACTGTTTCTCTTCTTCTTCTTTTTGGCGGCTGCGCCTCCCTTGAAGCTCTCTGGCGCCCCCCAGGGGAGGCGCGCCTCACACTTTGGGAACCCCTGATATAGAACATTTCAGTCAAACTAGTCTAGCCAAATTCAATTCAAATGTACCGCCGCACGCAGCACGGACACAGAGCTGCTGCCCAGCCGCAGCACCGGAAATGGAACTGCCGGGAGAAAAACTGACTATCAGAGATCTAACGCAATCTTTGATAATATTTAGTCTCCTAATTTTTCGTCAACGAAAGTAAAGAGAAATTTTGGCAAAGTTTTTATTTAGTAAACTACATTTTCGTCTCGTCACTTTTCGTCAACGATATTGCGTGCTGATTTCGTTACAGTTATTGTTTCGTTTTAGTCATGGACAAAAAGGTCGTTGACGAACATATTTCGTCTGGTTTCGTGAACGAAATGAACACTAGTTCACACCATTACATTAAGGTTGTACCAATCTAACTGTGTAGTCCGTCAAATGTTAGTTGGGGAAAAGATTGCATTTAGGGGTTGTGGTTCGGGTAAACATACAGAAAATTAACATTTAATGCCAATATGAAAGGCAATAGTCTAAAAATACAGTATACATTCAATTTAACGGAAGTGGTATTCAGATTTAAATATTTCTACCATCTTACGGTAGGGATATGAACCAATTTAATTAACTTAACATAAGCAAAGTTAGCAAACATGTTGGCAAACAAAGGCTAAAGATATGAACTACAGATATATTGCACTACAGATCAAAACTTATTGACTCCTTAGAAGCTAAATGGACTCACCATTATCTGTGTTAACAAGATTTGCTGACAAAGAGGTAGGAAGCAAGTTGCTGAATCTGACACTACGCTTGTTGGATGCAGTTTCATCAATGGGGTTCATGTCAATTTATTAAGGCTTATTTCAGAGCAGAGAGACCGCCCATATTGATTTTGATGTGAGCAAGGCTGCTGTATATAAACACAACATTATTTAAAAGCATATTGTACATTACCATAAGGCCATTCTCACAGACAGCGTTTTTATTTCAAGTTGGATGTTTCTTTTAAACGCATTTATCTACCTGGCTAAGGTGCATGTTCATGGCAAATAATAAATCAGTCTTCCCTAAGCTCTAGGCAAAATGATGGAAGCACTCCTTTATCTAGCGTTTCAAACCATAACATGATACTTCACACGGGGACTTGTCTTGCAGACTTCCAGCTCGCCAAACAGCAGCTTTAAATAGCAGTCACACTGTCTCTCAAACAGACAAAGGTACCATGACTGGTAAAGCAAAGAGAGAATTCAAAGCAAAACGTCTTTCTGAGAAAAATACACTCTTTGGAAAGCAGTTAAGTGACCTTGACAGGAAATGCTGTGAAATTCACATCTCACCTTTTCTTTCAGCGATTAAAATCAGCTGACGGTTGGCACAGGCTAAAAAAGCAATAGGTAGAGAATTATTTTCACCGGAGAAGAGACTGTGAGTTCATGAGACTGTGTGTGTGAATGTGCAAATGCCTTTATGGACTGTAAGTAAGTGGCATTCCTCTTTATTTCCCAAATGGCCCGCTATTGTTGAAATAAATCAAAGCTCCCAGGTACAATCACACCATAACTTATTGTAAGTGTGTCCTCTGTTAGCAATGTAGGTGTGTGTGTGTGTGTGTGTGTGTGTGTGTGTGTGTGTGTGTGTGTGTGTGTGTGTGTGTGTGTGTGTGTGTGTGTGTGTCTTGTTTCACAGCATGTTGTACACTGGGAACACTTGTGATTTGTATGAATTAATTAAACAAACACTCCCACATGTAGGCCTATAACTTTTATTTGCATTGTGCTGGGTTGGTTGCATAACTTCTGTCACGTAGCCAAGACGGCGGGCGTTGAGGGTGAACAGTGTCAAGCTGTAAGTGTCCAAATATAACTACGTGAATGGACACGGCATCAGTTTCCAATTCTTCTTCTTGTCTGTCTTTTTAATGTCTTCCTGTGTGTGAGTGAGCAGCCGTGAATGTTTACCAAATCCATTTATCTCTCTGATCTGTACATGGTGTCACCCCAGGTCAGCAGGTGTCAACACCTCCACCGTTATAATTCAGCAGACAAAGACCCTCTCAGATAATAGATTGCCTTTTAGAGGTTGGAGCCCCGTGTGATTATATTCTCGGCAGAGCCAGATAATCACTGTGGTTGTCACTAACTCATTGGCAGTCATCAGGATGTGTGTGTATGTGTCATGCCTAATCTGAGAGCAATAGATAACCTGGGATTCTCATAGAAATGAATATCAGTGGTACTGCTCGCTATGATCGATTGATGGAACACAGTTTGTACACTTGTCAAGAAAACTTAGCCTTGAATGTTGTTGCTCGCTCCCCCTTTTGTTCTCCTTCTCCTAACTGCAAAAGGTGCACCTGATCTGCTCCTGGCTACGCCTCGGCTCAGGTGTTCCTCATCTCACCCAATCACCGTATAAAAGGAAAGAGAAGGAGAACACTGCTGCCGGTTAGTATAGCAGCCCTTAGCAATTGGTTCTATTTCCGGTTATTTCTTTGATTGGGTTTTTAGTACGGAGGACCTGGTAGCCCAGTTTTTGTAGTTTTCTTTTCTTAGTTTAGTTTAGGGGGGAGTTCTGGGTCCGACGGCCAATGGTGTGGCTGGTCCAGGCTTTCTCCATCTTTTGTTCTTTGTGGCCAGTCCTCCAGACTCGTACCCTTTTTAAAGGGGACCTATCATGCAAAATGCACTTTTGTACGTCTTTTATACATGAATATGTGTCCCCGGTGTTCCAGGGAACTCACCAAGTGTCAGAAAACACAACCCTCTCTCTTTTCCTCCATACCCAAATCTCTAAAAACGGGGCTGCAACGGATCTGATACAGACTGATCCAGATTTGAAATTGTTCTGACGTCAGAAGCGGGGAGCTCCGCCTATATGGGCAACTCTCCACCTACAGTATCAGGGGAATGAGAGGTTGCGTGGTATGGTAACAGCATGGTAACAGCATGGTAACAGCATGGTAACATGGTGCTCGTGCCTCGCCCCCCTCCTTTGCAGGGGGGCGTGGTCAGCTGCAGCTCATTTGCCACAGATTCAGCCCTTGCAAAAACAGGGCTAAAAAAGAGCAAATATAGCGAAATGAGGCATGGCTAAAATGCATGATCTGTTTGGTCTTTTGAAAAAAAAACTTCACAGACATGTTTTATATAGGTATTGCCCTACAATATATTATTCAAATATAGCATGATAGGTCCACTTTAAGTTAGTGTGATTCAAAAAAATATTCAATAAAACCCTCTTGTTTGTGTAAACTCCATCGGGTTTGGGGTCTTAAATATTATGTTGGTCACAACTTAAGCCACAACCGTTGTTTTAATGCTAACACTGTCCTACAAATGCTCTTTTTAATGACTCGAAACACTGTTTTTAGCATAGACAGCAACAAACTACAAACAAATACATTTTAAACAGCGAACCTAAAGAAAAGATTTGACAGCACTGTTTAAAAAGTGATTTCTAAAAGCTGGTCTTTAAGAGTGATACTGTGCCCCAAATAAAAAACTGTTTCTGATGCGGTTTAAAGTTTAAAGACTTGTTTTGTATCGACAGCACCCAAAGGGATGAAAGAGCTGAAAAATCCAATGTTGGCGCGTCCCATTTTCCCTGTCTGCTGTGCTAACTGTTAAATGACCCAGTGGAAGATATGAAGCTTCAGCATAGACCTCAATAACAACTTTACTGGGGAAAATACAATAAATAGCCAGTTTATGAAATACAACAGTCGGGCAGAGAAACTGATAGTCTTCAGAACTGTTGTAGAAACTATCCCTCTTTGAACATGTCATGATAATTGTGTCGGGAACCATCTGAATAGATTTGCTGAGATTGATTTAGAAACAACTAGAACTAAACTGAGCTCGTGGATCTGATGATTTAGAGAGGTGACAACTTACTTTACGACATAGCAGTTGGATGCTCGCAATATAAAAAGATTACCCATCTTCCAAGGCTTTAAGTAATGTGTTTGAATACAAACCACAGTGTTTCTGACCAATCAGGGTCCTGCTGGTAGCTGCAGGCTGGTTTTGGTGAAGTTAGGCCGTGAAAGACAGATGGTTCATCCAGTGGCGTCGCCTGGCCTGGGCGGTAGAAATTGCCGGGATTTGCGTTTTTACCCCCTTAATGTCTGACCAATGGTTGAACAGCATTTCCGTGCACATGACTTGTGTTTAAAGTTTATAGTCCGTTTGAGTTTTGCCGTGTGAACGCAAACCGAACCTTCTGAAAAATGAAACAATGTAACAAACTGTCTTCTGGTGAGCACCAGAAAACTGACTATTAGGTGTGAATGCACCAATGTTGCTCTCAAAGTGCACCAGATTGATGCTTTTACCTTCAATATTTAAAAAAAAATCTTCCCGGGGGAGTATGCCACCGGACCCCCCTAGAGGAGGTGAGGTCTGCCCCCCACTCATAGAAATATATAGCTGATTATCGAGCCTTCATTGTAACAGTCGCCGGTGTACTGTGTATGTGCATGTGGGGAGTGTTGCAGTAGAAAATTCCACTGAAGCCACCACTGTGGGCTAAGCCCCGAATGTTTTCAGGTCCAGGCAACGCCCCTGGGTTCATCCCATCACCTGTGCTGGCCCTTTTCCAAACTGTTTCCAATGACGGCATCTCAGATAGTTCTGTGTTACAAACCATCCGGCAATCAGCTCCACAGTCAGCATTAGTGTGCAGGATCTCATGTCACAATGCACCATGTGTTCAACTTGAATGAAGCTGNAGCAAATAGAGCGAAATGAGGCATGGCTAAAATGCATGATCTGTTTGGTATTTTGAAAAATAAACTTCACAGACATATTTTATATAGGTATGGCCCTACGATATATTATTCAAATATAGCATGATAGGTCCACTTTAAATATCAATGAGCTAACCATAATTCCTATCAGAAGTTAAAAAACTGTACTCAAAGATGGTCCAGTAGGGCAAGACATATGATAACTCAGGCAATCAGACACATGTTAAACAAATTACCAGGTTCATTTACTTCATGTGGAAGAGACTGTGAAATCATAATTTCAAAGTTGGTTTGGAAGTAAGTTATAGGAATATTCCGACATGTAATGTTACTTTGGGCTAAATTAAGTTGATCCTATCTTGCATGTTGCATTTGTTTATTCCATGCACAGAAAGAAAATGTTTGTATGGCTATTAGACACTTTTTTTTTTTTTAATCATTCAGCCCACTTGAATAGAAAAAGAAATTCTCCTTATCTAACTCCCAGCAAACAGAAAAATACGTTATCTACCAAACTATTGTAGTAGAACTCTACCAGTAGAGACACGCATAAAGTTACACAACTCTGTGACAACCAATAACAACTTTTTGTTCTTTTTACAGTACAGGGTGAACAGCAACATTAGACGGGAAACAGAGTGACGTCCGCTTGTTATAATCCAAACTAATAATTCAAACACACTGACAGGCACTGAGGACTTCAACCTTGTAATTGATCTCTGGAAACAAACACATCAGAAAGTAATTACAACTACAGCTGACTCCAGAGCAGTGCTACCAAACGAGTCCCACAAGCATTACAACAGGCATGAATTCAAGATGCTATGCTGTAAAAACATGTATTTAAGGCTTATACATATTGTTAAAAAGTGTAAGCTCATTGTGTGTCCCTTCTTAAGTGCATTAAACACTCATTTGATTAAAATGGAGATTATAATGACAACCATGCAAACTTCTCTGCGGACACAGACTATCAGTTGCCTGGCAACCATGTTTTTCGTGGAGTTTGGCCCCTGGTTCTGGCTCGCAGGCTGCTTTGAGGGTTTTTCCCGGTGATGAGACTGTCTGGTTATCACATCTGTGAGCTGATGATTCACCTGAGACAGACTTGGAATCAAACCCTCCAGGCTTAAAACCCTCACCAGATCCCGAATGTGTGTTTACACAACCTCCCAGCCCGAAGGGGGAGGGCACCAGGATTTGGGTTTTCTGCAATCCCCCCGAGCAAGGAAACTATTTCTGTTCAAACCAAAAGCTTATATGGAACATTATTAAGTGTCACAGCTTATGACCAGCATCCTATTACAAATCATTTCCATGGAAGTGTTTTTCTAGTGCCTTCTAGTTTGTGTGTGCTTAGGTAGAAAGAAAAGTCCCTGAACCTTTGATGTTACTTGAACAAGACAACTTATGGGATTACATTGCTGAAATAATGGTGTTTTGTTGTTAGTAAGATAAAATGATCCCATACCATCCTCACTTTCTTCATAGGCAGGATTGATGAGCCCTGGCTCAGGCTGATCTCTGGAGGGGTTTTGGGAAAGTGTTGCTGAATGTTTAGCGTCAGCAGACGACTCCCCGTCACTCTTACGTCCTTTTAGCTCGTTCCACGAGGGCCTCTTCCTCTTCTCTGCTTCCTCCCTCAGTCTTCTAAAAACAGGACATCTGGGGGAGACAGGCGCAAGGAGGAAACAAGTAAAGACAATGATATGGCTGATGATTGACCAGTGGTTTACTCTCTTCGAAACAACACAATCTTTATGATGATTTGAAGGGTATGTTCTTAAATGTTTGATGTTAACAAGAAGTGGTAGAATGGATTGAACACAGAGAAGAGAGAAAGATCATTATCAAAAGTGTTTTGAGATGACAAAAGACAGGACTATTTATGCACTGGGCTCAGAATAGAAGCACTATGCAGATGAGCAGCCGATTTTACTGCATTGCAGAGTGTCTGTGAGACAGGTTGAGTCTGATTAAGTCCGTCAGAGAGCTGGACTGAACTTTGTATCCTCATTGTTTGCACAGAGCAGCTGCAGCAGGACTATCTGCCTTCCGCAACTGACCACGTCATGGCTGACCACCAGGATGATAAGCACCACACTGGCCATGTGAAAAACAAGACGACTGACCTGCACTTTGCCTTGAGCTCCATAATTAGAAGTTTGTGTGTTCATAGAGGGACTGAGCTAACAGGAGCATTGAGAGGGGGAGACACAGCCTTTAAAAGGACATAAAGAGGAGAAACAAAACAGTGGGGACAGTTATTTTCTATTCCTGAGCAGTAGTAAGCATTCTTTAGGCATGACTTAGACTTGTTATACTTTGTGTGGGGATGCTAGTGCGCAGTAAATGTATTTGGGTTTAATAGGCCTTACAATAAAATGCATCAAGTCTAAGGAATAGTTTGACATGGATTTTATACCTCAATTGTTTACAGTTCAAACCAACAAGACATAAGTCTCAATAAGTGAACTTTGCAGGTAGGCAGGCAATCCAAACTAAGGTGCATGTTTCCCCCACGTTTTAGTCTGTATGCTAAGCTAAGCAGCTGTAGTTGTATGTAATACAACTCTAGATGGAATTAGGTCGTTTTCATATGATGAATTATTACTCTGTGCTCACTGTGTTGTTTACATGCCCACAGCCTTGCTCTATAATATATATTCTAAATGTAATATACAACTCTTCAGATGTAATCCCTGATACGCCTTGGCCTTCATTTGAACCTGTGCCTCAAATCCCTGCTTAAAGTCTCTCAAAGTGCTTCATGACATATTTATGAAATCCAGAACCAACTATACTGATGTATTATATACCCCTCTTATCCATGTATTACATTCATGGTGTATAAAAATATATATATTGTATTAAGCGAGTGTATTTTTCCCTTCTGCAGCATACAACACTATTGCTCATGGCAAGGTGACTATATTGCAGCAAATTGCAGCTATTACAAAGGTTACCGAAGGTTCAAAAGTAGTATTTACAAGCAGGATTACATTAAATAGTAGGGATGCTCATGACTGAATGAAAACCTTGTTGTGTTTGACAAAGACAGGGAACATATTCTTGTGTTTCCGTCTCGCACACTGTGACCATTGAATGAGACAGGTTAAGGCTTCATAATATCCAATAACACTGCTGTCTCGACCCCTCAGCGTCCCGCCCAGGGTCTTACCTGTTGTGCAGGTGTGGCTGCAGCTCGCAGCGCTGCATCTTCAGCTGACACTCTGCAGAGTGGGGACACATCACCGTCAGCTTGTCCAGCAGGTTCCTGACCAGCAGACTGGAGGGACGGCACTGATGTAACTGCAGCCGCTGGCGGTCCACGGGGCAGAAGTCCTGCTCCTTCAAGAAGTTACTCAGACAGTGAAAGCAGTATGTGTGGCCACAAGGGGTGTCCATAGGTCTGAGGAGGGGCTGCAGGCAGATGTGGCAAACCAGTTCATCGTCCACCTCGTCCTGATACTCATACAGGTGGCAGTCCGAGCCCTCGTGCAGCTGCCCGCACTCCTTACACACTCTCGCCCACGACAGACCTGCAGCGCTACTGCTGCCGGCTACTTTAGCTTCTGTTGTAGCCATTGGCGGTTAAGAAGATCTGTACCAAGCTCTCTGGAAATGTTGTGCGTCTCTTATCTCCTTAAAAACTGTCCGTTTCCAGTCATAAGCCTGCCTGTCCAGATATACAATCCATTCAAGCGTGATGATGATCCAGAGTTGACAATGTTATCTCCATGTCTTCATTTGGATTTTCTGTAGAGAGAGAAATACTGTCAAGTCTTTTGTAGAAGTTGGATTATTTTTACGTGACCCTGCAAGCTCCACAGGAAATGACAAATCCACAGAGCAGCAGCAATATGGCAGCAAGCCGCAGCTGCTTCCTCTCAGCTAGTTTCCTGAGGGACAAAAAGAATTCGCATTTCTTGTGCCCCACAGTGAAAATGGCTAAACTGTGTGAAATGAGGCAAGAGAAAACCAACTAAAGTCAAACCCCAGCTAATGGGAAGGAACAAAGGCATGGCACTACACGAGAGTAAGAATTCTGAATGAACTGGGCAGAAATGCTTCATCACTAATGACCCCTTGCACCCGATCGGCAGTGGTCTCCATCCCTTTGTGGAGCTCCTAATCTCCTTTAATTCTCTCATAAGGAGAGGGCTGATTAGGATCGCATTCTTTGGAGAAACTTTAAACCCAGCCCTCCACATAAGAACAAATGTATTAATTAAAAAACTAATTATAACCTCCACCAAATACGTTAAAGTAGATCATATATAATCTACCCTGTATAATAAACTGCATCCTTTCAAACAGCATGATTTTAAAGGAAATTACATTTAAAGAGAAAATTTTTGTTCAACTGAAATAAGTAAGAAATAAGTAAGTAGTTTCACAGGCTTCCTTTATAAAGACATCATGGTATCTGAGAGAAGTGGCACAGAAAAGAACAAAACAGCATCAAATATAACCGGAAAACGCTTAAATGTATCCTAAAAACACAAAAAAGGAGTACAGAAAACTGTTCCCATGCACATTACCACATCTACATAAGAGAAAAACAAGCCACCACAATGAACTCACTACCTTTAGTTTCCAAGAGTACAGGCACAAAAAGGCTCCTTTATCTTCAGTGTTATTGCCTCAGAGCAACTCACCGAGCTGATATCTTCGTTGTCAAGCACCCAGTAGCCGCTGCACGCAAACACAAGACTCTACCCTCCCAGCTGCCTGAAGCCTGAATGAAACCAGAGCCCTGCCTCTCCAGCAGCACACCGTCTGAGTAATGTCTGTGTGTATGAGTGTGTGTGCTTGCCTGTGTGTGTCACCGCATATCTGTGTGCATGAGTATGGATGTGTGTGAGCTCCGGCTGCACCGCTGTAAGGAATGCAGAGGGGAATTGGTGTAACTAGGCAGAGTGAGAGGAGAGTGTTCCTTCGTGTGTGTGTGTGTGTGTGTGTGTGTGTGTGTGTGTGTGTGTGTGTGTGTGTGTGTGTGTGTGTGTGTGTGTGTGTGTGTGTGTGTGTGTGTGGCTCAGACTGCTGATGTTGCACTATTCCAGGTGAAGTACTCTCAATAGCTGACTGACTGATGGCCAACACACGGGATCCATTACTAATATTTGTGCGCACACTTTTCCACATGCACGCACTCTGGCTGAGGTGACACTGGCCTTCTTTCTCTCTTTGTCTTCACTTTGCATAAGTGATACCTCGTCCTGTAACCGATAGGGGTCATGGATCCTGTAGCAATGAGAAGGAAGCGCAGTACGAACCAGGCTGTTCTCCAATTATTTTGACACCACAAGACAGGGCGGCACGCTATGTGGAAAATATGCAAAAACTTTATTGAATATCGCGAAAAAGGATATAATTTGCGAAAAGAAAAAAAACTGATATTAAAATGTATTCAGTTCTGCCTTTTTGCTGCTTTCAGTTGACAACTCAAATACAACAAAGTGCCTGTTTATTTAAAAAAGTAAGGAGATTATGTCCATAATAGTTAACTGAACAAATTGAACATTGAATCTAACACAAAAAACATTTCTAAATGAATGATAACTGCACTTTAAAGAGCAGTTTTACACTTTACTCTCTCTTTACTCACTTTCAACTATATTTAAAAAAAAACTTAGTGCAGTATTTGTGTTTATCGCGCATGCTGATATTGCGTTGTTTTGCGCGAAAAAAAACGATATATATATTGCAGCCTTTGTTCAAGAATGTGAAAAAAGTGATAAAAATACATCTAATCCACTAACCCCTCGCCCCCCATCCACCTAGCTTAGCACATTTTACTTTTGTTGATATTTTTCTTCTTTACTTGTTTGTAAAGCACTTTGAGCACCAGGAAAAGCGCTATATAAATAACATGTATTATTTATTATTATTATTATTATTATTAATAATACACTTACATTAAACACACAATGCTGCAAATAGTCAAGCTTGTTCTCTTGTCAATAACACATTCCCATTTGTATATCTCTTCATACCTAAGGTGTATTAGTTGCTTTTGGATTAAGTGTCGTGCACATCTGGCCACAGAGAGCATCCAATGGGTTTCAGCGAGGTTGAGGCATGTCTTCATTAGAGCAGAGGTCATCTCCACAGGAAGACGTACAGCGACCCTGGAGATTACTGGTCCCCTCCTGCTCATTGTATCTGAAGGTGGCGGCCACTGAACCGTCTATCACTGTCCACTTATACATCACTGACACAGCAGTAAATATCACCGTGTTGCTCAAGGATACAGCATGACATCAATAGAAGGTGCCCGTCTCTCTTGAGATCCTGCATGTGAAACGGAGACTCTGTAAGGATTAGTCGATAATCTGATTAGTCGAATAATTGATTACTCCATTAACTATTAGCAGCACTTCAATGTGAGTTTGGCTGCTTTTCTTCATTTTGTATCAAAACAAAGTGAATATTTTGGAGTTTTGGACTGTTGGTCAGACACCTTAGACCCTGGCTGTGAATTTTCTAAATGTTTCGTAAATTAGACCGAATGATTAATTTAGAAAATCATTTACAGACAACTTGATCAATCAAGGAACTGTTGCAACTCTAAACTGAATATACTTGTGTTTTTGTGTGTCGTTTAGAGATACCAGGACATCTAATGAGCAAAGACATCACCTTAGGATGTTTGTTTATTATTTTTGACTAGACTGAACAAGTTACTGGTTAAAGAAACAAATTAATATGTTAGCAATAAAGAAAATAATAATTTCTCAACCCTAGAAGATTGTAAGTGGGTTCCAATCATCTACTATTTTCAATATAAAATCCTTTAGTCTTCAGTTTCTTTGAGAAAGTTTACATCAACATCTCCATTAATCAACGTCAACATCACAAGTATGTATACTTATACTAATCCTGCACTAGAGCTAGGACATTATTTCACAGAAATCCCACACTTAAACATTTGATACTACAGCTAAAGCCCATGTTTGTGGAGCTTAAAACACAAGACAGCTTTACAATAGACACGGTGAAAAATGTTTTTACAGGTTTAGAGCCAACCAAAGCACAGCCAGCCTTAACGAGGGACCTTATCCAAATCAAATGTCTTGTAATCATGTGACAGTGTAAGCTTTCGCGGGGGAAATGTCTGTTTCCCAACAGCGTCCTCCAGTCTCCCACAGGATTACCAGAGGTGGTGTTCCTTTAAAGCTGAGCCGAATCACTCGCTCTGATGGTCGGTGTGGGTGAGTCACATGGGCTGCCACACCCGCAGTGAACGCAGGTGAAGCCACGCTATAGACAAATAATTTCTCCATGAGTCCATGTGAAAGGAGGTGTGTCGCGTCTAACTGTGCCTTACAACTATGTCTGAGCACATGTAATGGAAAAAATAGATCTAAGAGTTGAATGACTCTTAATCCTCAATTAGGTATGACATAATGATGGAAAGATCCAACACGTCTGAGATTAAAAAGTTATACAATACTTATCATTAGAGTGTCTATCAGTAATATAATTATATACAATTGTTTCATGTGTTTAAGCTCTGTTTGAATATTATGTGACTGCTATGGCAACACCATGCAAAGCTTCCTGCTTTCAACACAATGACCAATATTTACATTGCATATCTGAAATAATCAACAAAACAAATCATCTGAGTGGCAATAAAAACATCGCTCACCAAATTGTTTCCCAATGCAACTTCGTTCCAGTTTTTTATATAACTGCCCCAGTTGTATTCTCAGCCTCATGCAGACCCACACGTGGTAACAGTGTCTCCCCGAGATGTCACACATGGAGGTTAAGCTTACGTTCACAGGGCGACTGAGCCTCCTACTGTACGACAGCCTGCCTGTACATACCAAACAAACACCACCCATGGCCTTAACTTATCATCAGCATCTGTGTTTCCTTTGTACTCAGCTTGAAGGGCAGAAGGTAACAGTTATTCCTCAACAAAAGCGCTCTGAACATTCGTCATTTAGCGTCATTCACTGGACCAACCAATGCAAACAGAAACAAGTGTTATTACTCAGCTGATGATTGAGTTAGCTCAAAATATAAATGGTCAAACCAGGCTGGATTGGACCTTGATGTACCAAACAGGACAAAAAGTGCATAGTGACCTTCACATTGTATTGCTTTTTTCCCACAACAACTCGTCTTTAAATCTAGCAACAGCTACTGCAGACATATCACATACACAATAATACTTTAAGTTAAACATTAATACTGTAACTTAATTGAAATATTACAAGAGGTGAAGTTGGTTTACCCTTGTTGAAATCTACTGTAAAGAAAATATTTTTGAACTGCGTTGCTGTACATAATCACTAAATATGGACAATATGAATTATCATACTATCCATAAAAAAATGGGCTATGTAAGATTGCAACATTATGGTTGTCAAGATAATTAGTTGTAACTCTTCCAAATACCAATGCATCTGATTTATAAAATATGTTGATATGCTGCTATACTACATATTGTATTGCTGTAATATCGTATTTAGTATTCTTCTATATGACTACATTATATTTCCATATTATACAGACAAAAAGTACTAACACTATTACAAAACCAACCACATAATATATCAGTCTGGCGTACACTGTTTTATGTTTACTAAATGTGCTGCTATCAATTGTATATATTATATTTATTATCTCCTAAATGTCCCATCTAGGGATCAATTTATCGGCTTATCAAATCATATTTGATTGACTGACATTTTGTATGTTAAATAATTAACAGTAGCTACTGCCATCAGATAACACTAGTGTTGTGTGTTAGGGTAAAAAGTAGGCTACAGTATTTCACTGACGTATAAATAAGATTTACATGGAGTGAGGTGCATACAAAAAGCCACTTCAGTAAATGAAGGTTGTGACTTTCCATCACTGATGGCGACGATACCCATTTCAAAATCCATTTACCACTTGATATATGAAAAGATGCTCAATAACAGCAACAAGGACATGTTCCCTCACTTTCCTGCCCTGCCTGATGTGTGCTGTCACTGGGACCATAAATAACTCACT